AATGTCGGCCATCAAATTATGAGACATTTATGTAAACTCAGGCATAGAGGTCACCGACATGCCGGAAACAGCAAAAGAAATGACACATTATACCCAAAATTGCCATACTTGTTCCAGGTGGGTAACGGTTGTTCATTTCCAACAATTTTCAGTTGACTCAGCAGAAACACTCTTCCTTTTTACTCAACTTATACCAAATTGATGAAAAAGAGGAACGGAAATTTGCTGCTATCAGGCAGTCATATTGAAAGTTGCATTCCTTCAAAAGGCATATCTTCCCTCACTATTGCTCCACCTTGTATGTTGCTCTATTTCAGTGGTGCCCAACATTTTCGCTCTGAGGCCCCCATAGCTCACTTCCAGTCATCGTGGAGAATATGCAGTCACTAGTATAGTAGAAGACTGATTTAAGGTGGCAACAAAATGACAACCCACTTTCTCTAATCAAAAGTATAATACATTTCCACACTAATCTGCACATATTATATACAATTGGAACGCTTTTGGCGAGTTTTAATTGAATTAAGAAACGGGTTTGGAAAATTGTCACAATTACCCAATCGGGAGAGGTCAAATGTCCAAAGGTACAAACTTGGCCACTCCCACCTTGGAAAATCCCCCACTAGGTTTTTTCTCTCCCTTTTGATGCTATCATTTTTAAACCTTCCAGATACATTACTGTTGGAATGGTATACGAACCTATGTTGTTAACTTTTGACTATATATTCATTATGTTGTCATGGCAACTGTTTCATACTTTTACCGACTCCACTTTGCTGTTAAAAAAGTTTGACATGGCCGTATCTCTTGAAGGGAACCTCCCATTGACTTTTCATCGCACACGTTTGTAACACATATACATCTCTACCAGTGAGCAAAATGTGAGGCCAATAGTATTAGGCATTACGATGAAAAGCATATGTGGACACCACAAGGAGCATGAAACCAAGAAAATCAGCACTATAAACTATAAACTGCTGAGAATGTTCACATTAAGTTCTCTTGCAATCTCATTCATTTTTACCCAATATGAGACCGATTATAAGAAGAATGGCCTTAGGATCTAATAATTGACATACAGGAAGCAAAAAATGTAAATATCTCAAAACGACATTTTAAATACTAAACCGATGTCTTTTGTCCCCTTAAGGAAATCTAAGGGTATTTATTTTAGGGTTGGGACTTGCGGACCACTTGCAGCCACCTTGTGGGCCATTTTTTGCCTGCGGGCCACTGGTTGGGCACCACTGCTATAGTATCTCTCATCATACTGGAGGCTGAGTTGTGGAGGTCGTCCTGCCTATGTGTGTTGTCTTGGGAATATGCTTCAAGAATTATTCAACATGTTTCGAGAGAAAAAGCAAATTTATTGCCTAAATTGGGGGGACTCATCATTGAGGCACGACGCTCAACTGCATAGAAAAGCTCATGCTCTCCAATGAGGAGAGATGAAGTTTGAAGAGAAGAACACATGTGTCATTTATGTGGAAGCAGATTAGCTGTGGTTCCTGAACCTTGAATGCGATAAAGGCTCTAGTGTCCTCTAGAGTTATTGACGATTTCACGTAGCATTCCCAATCTCCTCCGTGTCTATCTTTCATTACTTTAAGTAGAGTTTTCTTGAAATCGTCCAACGAGACATTAGCCTCTTTCGCCTTCAGAGCCAAGATCAGAACATCCACGATCATCTGAGTTGCCTCCATTTCCGACCGAAGTACCTCTACTCCGACACTTCTTGCCTGGAAACAATTGGGTCGATTCTAGTACATTATCCACGTAGACAATTGACGTAGCTCTTTTGCGGGTCAACTCTGTTATCATTGCCAAAGTTATGCTAATATGCGATATTGACCCTATGGTCCAGTGGCAAAGTTGGTACTAAGAAAAATACGGTTGACCAACATCAGCCACACTTCGGTGCCTTCCCCAGTAGCATAAAATATTGGCCCAATGCAGGACCAAAATTGGGTACGTTGGTCCAATGTTGGTCCTGCATTGGGTCAACATCTTGCGCTACTGGGATTGTTTCATCATCGTCTTCCATTTTTAGTAGTCAACTCTCGATAGCTCGTAGTTTCAGGGAAATTCGAATTACGATTTATTTGACTATATACATAAATGTATCCCCTTACGAAAATGTCTTATAGGATTCCTATATATTCCTATAAGAATCCNTTCTTCCATAACAGACCAGAGGATGGAAGGTCATAATAGGCATTGTTTAAGAGCCCAAATGCCCCCGATCTCTTCCAGCGGACCATAACGAGCATCGCGGCTGCTTCCAGTCATGATACGCCGGCTTGGTTTCATTATCGGTATCAGAAAGTACATTAATGCTGCGTGCATCGCGTGACGTTCGTACTGCTAGGTAGACACGCCTGAAACGGAATGTGCAAATGGATAATTTCCTTGAAATTCGAATGCCAATTCCTCTGTAGCAGAGAATAAGGAGGATATTGAGAATGTAACGCCGATCACTTTAGCATAATCATTTGAAAAAGTGTTAAAATGGATCTTCACGTTCGACGATTCTTTCCGAATGTACGATTACGTCGAAAGTCTCCTGTGCCAAACTAGATGTGACCTCAATAAAGCTTGGAAAAATTTTAATCGCATTAGATTGTAGCCATGCTTGACGGCGACTCGGTTCACGGACTGGTCGACAGCAGGGTGCAGTGCTGAAAAGGTGCAGGCACCAAGATCTCTTCACTGTTCGCAGCCTTGAATTTACCGACTGATACGATTGGAAACAAGTGTGAATCGTCGCATTCCTAGGATAACCAGGTATGCAGGAAGTGTGGCTTGATGCTAAGTTCGTTCGTACTTTTACAGAAAAAAAGGAAAAATAGAGATATACATTTAGAGCTACTAGGAAATTTGACTTATCTCATCTACGAGTCATAGAGGAAGGAAATGCCTTTCCAGACTTTCGCTGGGAAAGGCGTTAAGTTTAAGTTAAAGAGAAATTCGATTTTAAGAGGTTCGAGTTATCGAGAGTTGACTGTATTTTGACATTTCTATTTTGTACAATTCCCTAATCGTCTCTTTGGGTTCCTCAAATTGAGGAACATTCACATTCTTCCATAACAGACCAGAGGATGGAAGGTCATAATAGGCATTGTTTAAGAGCCCAAATGCCCCCGATCTCTTCCAGCGGACCATAACGAGCATCGCGGCTGCTTCCAGTCATGATACGCCGGCTTGGTTTCATTATCGGTATCAGAAAGTACATTAATGCTGCGTGCATCGCGTGACGTTCGTACTGCTAGGTAGCCACGCCTGAAACGGAATGTGCAAATGGATAATTTCCTTGAAATTCGAATGCCAATTCCTCTGTAGCAGAGAATAAGGAGGATATTGAGAATGTAATGCGAGAGGTACAGGGCAGGTATTAGGGGGGTTTGATATAAACTTCACAGAGATATCTGGTGACCTGTTAAAACTTCCTTTCGTTAATTCTTGGCTCGCGGAATTAGGATTCGATATGAAAAGTTGTTTATGAGTATCCCATGTATGGGTAGTTAATGGTGACAGCAATATTGTAAACTTGTCTAATGATAGCATGGACTGTTGGTTCTCACCAGACTTTTTACTCTTCGGCATCAATGACTTTTGAATCAATGACGTTTAAGGATTCACCTCCTGATTGGTACGACGAGGTCGAAGAAGGTTGTAACCTAACGTCTGTCTGAGGCCGATGGATGCTTAACTTTCACGTCATCTTCTCCCTCCTACATTTGTCCATTCGCATGAACAACTCAATGCCTTCTATACAGGGTGTTCGTATTTAAACGCAACAATGGGACATTTTTGCCCCTTTTTATGGAGTTCAGCGCGCGCCCTATAGCTCACTGGGTTGCATACCTGGAAGGATGAAACCTATCACTCGTATGTTTCATTGGAGATAGGCAACCCGGTGGGCCATATAGCGTTCGCCGATCTCCACCTACAGGCGGCAAAATATTCCGTATGTTTGCGTTTAAATATGAACACCCTGTACAGGGTGTTCGCATTAAAACTGTCTATATATAATATTATGCTTGGGCGTCTGTATGTCCGCAGTGCCATGTGCGCATGCGCGACGCCTTCTTCTGCCTGGCTCCGGGTGTCAGTCTCTCTCTCTCCAGCTCGCAATTTTCCTTCGGCCATTGCGGCTATCAGATCCATTCTCGAGAAAGAGAGAGAGGAATTATGTACGTCTCGTGCATCCCCCTCCCCACCGCTTAGGGGTATCCGAAAGTATCCAAAAGTTTTTTCAATCTAGATTTTTTTTCACATTTACTTGATTAAATGCCTGTGGTACAGTATACAGTAGAAATGAAGGACTGCATTTGTTTACTCGAATAAAAAAACGACGCGTTTATTTCGATAAAAAAGCGCACAACATGATTTTTTGTGCAAGCGATTTTCCCGCCTCACTTTTCCAGATGGGAAAAAAGGAGTTCACGGAAGATCAGCGTGGCACCATTTTTTTATTACTGCCATTAACGTGGTGACACATCGGAAAATCGCAAAAACAGTCGGATGTGGTTTTACAACCGTCTGTGATACGTTGAAACAATGTGTCGAGACCGAATCCTCCAACTCCAGGTCACGTTCAGGACGACCAGTAAAAAATGGTGCCACGCTGCTCTTTCGTGAACTCCTTTTTTCCCATCTGGAAAAGTGAGGCGGGAAAATCGCTTGCACAAAAAATCATGTTGTGTGCTTTTGAATCAAATAGACGCGTCGGATTTTTCTTCGTGTAAACAAAATGCAGTTCTTCATTTCTACTGAATATATTATACTGTACCACATGCATTTAATCAAGTAAATGTGAAAAAATCGATTTTCAAAAAGCGTTTGGATACTTTTGATCACACACTGTAGACTGCTTTTGCTGAACATTTCCGCAAAGAAACGAAATCGTTGTCGTGATATCACTATCACTATAAGAAGTGAATACTACTCTCATGCCAAGTACGTTTCAGAGCAAGAATTACAGAGAATCTGATGCACTACTATACCTTGTCTAGGATGTGAAGGATGTCAACCAACTGCATTTCTCTCAGAATATTTTCTAGCTTTGTAAGGATTTCTTGCAGATCTCTCTGAGAAATGCTGATGCTGTCGAAAGCCCCCTGCATCTTTTCCCTGTAGGTCAGCTTCGCTTTCATCTCCCTGGCCTGCTCTGTTGTGTTAAGCCCGTTCTCCACAAGCTTATCAAGGAAAAGGTCTGCATAAATAGGTTTATTTTCGTTCATTATGATCGCTTTTAAATTTCTGAGGTTCGTTTCAACCATGGCGGTCGTCTTCAGACACTGTTACCTGGAAAAAAAATTCGACGACAGAAAATAATGCCACATAGTGTGCCTTGCAGACATCTTAAACATCTCTAAAGGTTGTGGAAGGCCTTATGGAAGGAGAAGGAAGGTTTGAAGCTTGAGACGCCGAATTTCTCACTAATTAATGAGAACAACGAGAACAAGAAGTGTAAGTTTATGTTCAAGAACAAGAACCTGCACCTAGAGTTCATTATAGATTAAAAGTCTGTGAGGTTCCGTGATGAGAACCATAAACAGTCACGTATGTTATTCCTCAAAGATCTGATAGACCACTGCCAATATTACAAAAGCATTATTCTCAAATTGCAACCGAATTTTGATAAGGGTGAGGAAAAACTAAAAATATATATTTACCTATGGGAGGAAGAGTGACCTTTGTCATCCAGAAATAATAGATTGCAAAGTTAACTGGCTGTTAGGAAGAAAACGCTCAGTTTTGTTGAGTCCTAACGTTGGAAAGGGATAGTCGGATCGAGCTGCCTTTTGACGAAGACGTTGATGGACATGATTGAGCAAAATTAAAACGCATCCTTTTTGACGTTTTATAAAACCGGTTGTGGATTACCAATTTTCGTGATTTCTTCGTATCGCATTGGATACGCGACAAAAATTTTTTTCCTGAAAGTTTCATGTTAAGGCTGTATGAATAAAAACGGCAGCCGTTCAAAGTGGAGGAATGAAATGTCCTTTTCACACATGAGATGGATGGAGTTTAAGCACTGCTCAAATGATTAATTTCCTTTGACACCATAAAGGCTGCTAAATATGCCATGTTCTCGCCGTATTATTTTGGGTTGATGAATACTATTTCTCTCGTACGACGAGATTGATCCAAATCAATTCTAAGAGGGTGGTTCAACTCATTTGTTGATTTTATTTTTTGGAGCATTTATTTGAAACGTGATAAATTTCAAACCAGCTACTTCAGCTACTACAATGCAGCATTTTCCTCAAGGGAGTACTAAAAGACTGAAAGCCCTTAGCAAAGGAAGATCTGTCTCGCAGTTAGAACCAATTCTTGGACGAGTATCTTCACAACCTTCTTAGATTCTGATCGCTGCCATTCCTGATGCTCTTTCAGGGGACCAAACGGATGGACATCGCTCGGAACTAATTCGGGGCTACAGGATGGGTGAGGGAGAGGCTCTCGGCCTATGCTAGCCACTTTAGTCGCGGTTTTATGGGCCGTGTGCGAGCGAGCAGAAGGAACACTCCAGGAGAGGGTAGATCAGAACTTTTATTTTTCCGAATGTCTGTTTGTATAGCTTGCAGGACGTTGCAATACTAGATGTTGATCTACTATTGATTGACTACTGTTGATCGTAGAGCCTTTGGGCAAGATATCAGCATGAATGATCTCGGAGTGATCCCAGAATCCCAGGAGAAAATGTCCTATTGAAAATGTCTATTGAAATTCTATAGGATCTTAATACCGAGAGCTGAAAAACTTTTGATAGGACTTCCTAAGAGCAAAACTTCACAGATCCATTTCCCCTCTAGTGATGTCCTATGGGACTACTTAATCCATGACTTCCCCAGATTTAATCATTTTCTTTGCTTTGAGATTATGCAAACCATCTACAAGAAGTAAAACAATCTGGGTATTAGAAACTCACTTGATGATATTGGTAGGGTACATCTGCAATTAAGAAGAACTTAAGATGACATATGATCTCTTTACAATTAAAATGCGCAACTCTAGTGGATTGCATCCATTTATACTTAGTTTCTTCTTTAATATAAAAATTACTGTTTTAAGTTGATAGAATTTTACAACATATCCGTAAAATACCAACATGTACTCCCAACTTCTGAATTAAGTTGAAACATGTACCAGCACAAAACAAAGCACAATACTTGCTAGACATTTGGAGAGGAATGTGCTGCATTTCCGGGAGAAATGCAACAGAGAAAAACATAATTATAGAATAAGACAGGAATACAATAAGACAGGGGTGCTCAAACTACGGCCGGTGGGCCAGATCCGGTCCGCCGAAGGATTTCATCCGGCCCGTCTAAAGATGCGATTACTTTTGGCCTGAAGCATTCCAGTTTTTTTTAAAAACATATCTAAAAATCCCATCTGCAGTTCATTGTGCTCTGGGCCATTTCAGGTCCCTTTCCCATGCAGCACCGGGGATTATTAGTCAGATCTTATTAGTCAACCATTTACGTCCTCCTACGATTGACCGACTTACCGAATCCACCCATCAGTTGTGGGAAAAGGCCTTTTTTCGCTCCCCCACTCTTTTATGACGGACCTTGGGCGTCCGCAGATTTAAGGAACAAGTCAGGTAGCTGATGTTTCTTTCTCTTGCCTGGTCTGTCCCATGTCTTTTCGTGCATCCGAAGTTAATATTCATGTTCAGTTCGACGAAAGCTCAGAAGTATTTCCCAAAATCTAGTTGAGTGCTTTCTTGGGACATCCCATGTTGACAGTGAAGGGGATTTTGTTCAGCAAATGCGCCATTTAAAATTCAGTGTCATTTCATTTAGTGATCTCCAATGGAGCGAGTGAGAATATCTCTTTACAGTTGCTGAGCGGGTATTCAGGCATCATGTTCCTTTTCTTTCCAACTAGGTACGAAAGCATTCAATCATGTCAAGCCTCAAAAAAAAGGAAAATTGATAGTGAGTGCCGAAAATGTCAAAATCGTTGGCAGGCTGATTACTTCTTTTAAGACATGAATGGCAAGGCTGTGTGTTTGATTTGTCAGGAGACAGTTGCTGTTCTTCAGGAATATAATCTTAAGAGACATTATCAGTCCAAGCACGCAGCATCCCATGAAGTTTATACCAATACATCTCGGTCTGAACTAGAATGTGAAGACATCACAGACACTGCGCAGCTACTGATTTTTATTCGAGGCGTGGATGAAAATTTCATTGTAACCGTGAAGCTTGCAGGTCTTCGTAGCTTCTATGGCATAACCTCGGGAAAAGATTTGTTTGAAGTTTCCAAATGCCTGGAAGGTTGTCAGCTTTCCTGGGAAAATCTGACAGGGCTCTCCACAGGCGGTGCGCCAGCAATGCGTGGCTGTCACTCTGGACTCGCTGGTCTCATGGAAAGAAAAATGGAGCAGAATTGCAACTCTCTCATCAATCTCCACTGCATAATTCACCAAGAGGTTATTGCTTGCAAAACGTTGAATCTGGGTGAAATTATGAATGCAGTGATTCGCACTGTGAACTACCTTCGCTCATCTGCGGGGCCGAAGCACCCTCAGTTCAGATGGTTCCTTGCTGACATTGAATCCGAGTTCCTCGACGTGCCATACCACGCGGATGTTCGTCGGCTGAATCATGGGACTGTTCTATACAGGTTTTTCCAGCTCCAGAACGAAATTAAAATGTTCTTGGAGGAAAAGGGAAATCTTTTGATTGATTTCTCGGATCCGATGTGGATGGTCGGTTTGGCATTTCTTGCTGACGTGACAGGTCATCTGAATGACTAAAACAAGCTTCTTCAAGGCCGCGATTGCTTAATCACGGACTTGCACTCAGCCGTAAAGGCTTTCAAAATGAAACTTTTACTTCGGGAACAACAGTTGAAGAAAGGCGACCTCACCCATTTTCCATTTTTGAGAGAAGTGTGTGAGGAGTACTCAAAGGAAAACTTCAGCATCGAGAAATTTCCTGGAATTATTCACGATCTTTATACCGAGTTCCAAGGACGATTTCAGGATTTCTCTGGACTTGAAGAAGAAATTCAGTTATTCAGCTCACCGTTTAATGCGGATATTGGCAAAGCACCCGAAAAATACAAATGGAAGGTATTGAGCTGCAATGTGATCATCAACTGAAGAACAGATTCACGGACTTGCCTCTGCTCGAGTTCTATAAACGCCTGGATAAGGGTCGTTTTTGCACCTTCTTCGCCAAAAGATGCCACGCGCAAAAGATGATGACGATCTTGTTCCTTCAACATACATTTGTCAACAGACCTTCTCCATCACGGAATTGAACAAAGACCGGCTGAGAAGCACAATGACTGATGCTCATCTACGAGACGTGCTAAGAGTGGCATCTTCGAGGCTGGAGCCAGACGTGTCCTAAGTTATGCGATCGAAGTGCCAGCTTCATGTTTCTCATTGACATTCTCTACAATAAACCATGCTTGTTGAGGCAACTTAGTGATTTCACTTTTCTTTTGTTAATTCATCATTTCAAGTGAAGGTTCAAATTAAAGCAGCCCCCGAGAAGAAAGTTACTGTTCATGCGGCCCACGAGCTAAAAAGTTTGAGCACACCTGCAACAAGAGATGGCTTTCAGTTTCTTTCCAGTTCCTTGTTTGCTCGCCAGAGATGACATCAACACAATTCTTTGTGCATTTGTCTACTCCATTGCAAAACCTGTTAAAATGAAAAGATGAAAATAAAAAATATTCCATATATCAAGTAGTAACAATTTCAAATTAACTGCCTTGAACTTTGAAATAATGCTACGACAACTGGTAGACCTTCCCTAGTCATGTGTAGGGCATCTTGGCCTCCTTGGATCCCAAGATCGCTTACTAGCGAGATTGTTTGCCCTTCGGGAAAAAAAATTCGCTATGGTCGTGCCTTTGGCGCTCCATTACCTTGGATAGTGATTAATTCATTTATTCTTTGCGAAATGGGAAACACGTCCCTATTGAAATACGTGACATATGGCGGCGAAAGTCTTGATTTTTTAAATCAAAATCAATACCTCTATGATTTTTAGTGTGACTAACTTGAAATCTTTTCATGTGTCCCTTTTTGTAAGGGTGGAGAATACATTTTTAAATACTTCGCTCCTATAATCTACGCTAAGGGGTACATATTTCAAATGTAGGATTTTTCCTGTACTCAGCCATCAGGTACTTCTGAGGGAAGTTTAAATTTTCTGTCTTTGTTTCGCTGGACCAAAGAAAATTTCAGGAAAATGGAACTGAAAAAAGTGCCCTGATGGGTTTTAATGATAATTTTATTTCTTCTGAAATGTGGACTCAGGAACTCCATGCCACTCAGTTTCAGCCTTATACGTTTCCTCTTTTTGCTGGCGGAAAAAAAGGAATTTGGAAAAGCGACACACCCTGGAGACGCACACCAAAAAGTTGAATTTTTCCTTAAATCAGCATCACGTCCGTTGTGTGTGTGCCAGCTGCTACTTTTCTGTTTCTGCCCGATTCACTGGGATATGAAAAATTCTGTGAAAACGTTACGTCCCCAAGAAATATGCCTGCCCCCCAAAATTTTTTTGGAAATTTGACATTTGACATATGATCTCAGTGCTTCAGCAGACACGTTCTTGCCAAGTTACAGCTTCCTATATGTCTCCATTTGATTGAAGCAAAGAGAACTATTCCAAAGAGAAGCAAAGAGAACTATTTGAAAAGATGTTCCCGAAAAGGTGTGCCCCTTTGGCATGTATCACCAAAGTAGAATTTTTCCTGAATTCGCATGCCGAATTCAGGAAATCAGTCAGCTACTCTATATATAATAAAAGTACAATTTTTTCTTTACTCAGCTATCCATCAGGATCTTCTTTGGCAAGTTTAAACTTTCTAGCGCCCTCTGTTTTGTTGGATCGAGAAAATATGCCTTTTGCAATATAAGTGCCCTGAGGCATTTTAACCGAAAAGTACATTTTTTTAATTACCGAAATCAATTCTCAGAGAACTACATGCCCACAAAGATTCAGGATTATACGTTTGCCCTTTTCGCTTGTGAAAAAAAAAACATGTTTGGAAAAGCTGACGCACCCAAAAGCTATACCAGGAGGGGATGTACCATGAATATTGAATACTCCCAGAACTCAGTAATAATATCATGTCATTTATACGTGTGCCAAGTTTCACCTTTCCATTTCTGTCCTATTCGCCACGACAAAATTTTTTTTAACCATGGTCCTTCGAAAAAATTCCCCAGGGGATGTATCGAGACTTATTGATGTGATTGAAGAAAACAGGCTAGGAGACTTAATGTTACTGCACATGGCTGAGTTTAAGCAGCTAATCTCAAAGAAACCGAAATAAAATTTATCCTCAACAAGGAACCAAAAGTCTGTAAAATATAAAAACGTATAGAATTTTCGAAGACAGGCTATTCATTTAAACTCCCCTACTGCCCAAAGAATAGCACTTGGGACACTTCCAAGAAAATTATATATATACTGCCTTTAAAATTGCAGCACCAAGAAGTTGAGGAACACATAAAATTTGGGACTTGAACTCTTTGCAGCATACAATGAAATTTATTAGTTTCAAGAGTGCATACAAATTAAATGGAAGGGGGGTTAGGGGTCCTATTAATTTTAATGGCGGACAGTGCATATGTAAAATATATAAATGAAAGTCAGACTTACTCAGAATAGCTTGAAGATGAGATTGAACCAGAGGCAGATGAACTTCATTTCCCAGCTTGGCATGACAAGCCTTGCTTGTCAAATACATCATTTCAAATCTTCCATGGAGAAAAGTTTCATCAGGAGACATCAGGGCAACCTAACACCAGACCTGTTTGCCATTATAATGACATTGTTCGAAGTTCTCTTTGATGGCATCACACCACTTCCAATGTCAACAAGCTTCTCAGGAATCTTATTCAAGCTGAGTTAGGTTGAAGCTGCAATATCAGTTCCTTCTAATTCCTCATATTGAAGGCAAGTACTGACTCCTTGAAAATCACTTGAATGAAGCATGTGGCTTGCGGATTTTGTCTATTTTGCTCTCAATTCTGAAGAGGTATTCCACACATAGGCATGTAGAAGCACTTAGGGGTACATAAGCCCATTTTAATCTAAGGTATTCCAACAAATGGACAGATGCAGTTTCCCCTAACTTGGTATGAACTAGAGTTCCCATATCTAAATCTTCCAATGCTGTGCCTTCGCCAATTCAGCTTTGGGTAAATAAATAAACAATTTAAACAATATCTCTAATTGAAGAGGGCAGTTGTCGAAGGTCTGGTTAGATTCTAAAAGGACATCTCTCTGAATCATTGCTTCTTTCCTAAGGAAATATTCTAAGCTGTCTTCAGCAGTCTTTATGAGGAGCTTTGAAGGAGAAGAGATCATATCTTGAGTCTTTTCCATCATCAGCTTGTGCAATGCACATGCAAGGGCAACTCAGAATATGAAGTCATATTCAGGGACTTTCTCATGTAGGTGGAAGACCACATATCTATGCCAAATAGAGATCATTCACCATTTCTGTTCCTGAGAAAGTAGAATTGGAGTCAGACAACAGTGACTCCGGCTCTCTTCAAATTTGGCAATCATGTCATAGCTGATGCAGGAAACTCATGATTCTCTGGAAGAGGCCCAATAACCCCAACTGTAGAGTCCCAAGTCCAACTTTTTGACTAGGTCTAATGAAGTAAATACTCGCAGGGGTATTCATTGTCACCGTCATTGGTGACGACAGCCTATTAATGGAGGAAGAGTATTTGATGATTAGCTTTCCTTTTGGTCTTAACCCTACACTTTTAGGTCCTTATGGCTATTGACTCAGGTCTATGAGCAAGAAATGCCTGCGCTTGTAGCAGATAGGATAAAGGTAGGACCTATAAATACTAGGGCTAGGAACTGACATCACAAGTGAGGGCCAACCTGTCAGTGTCGTACCTATAGTAAATGCAGCGCAGTAAAACTCGAAACATACTCACCTCTGCTAAGAACTCTCTCGCACGGTTCTCCTTCATGCATCACCAAGTGAGACACTAGATGGCAGTAATGGAGGAAGCCCGCTACCCTGTGACGCCGTGTTATGCACGAAATAAGGTTTCTGATTATAGCTGCAGTAAGAGAAAATATTTATGGGTTAAAATGTGTGGAAACTCGGTCATACAGAGGATATGACGTTGATGCATAGGCAGTTGCCCAATACCTCAGATTTTTTTGTCCTAAAAGCTCATATTCGGATTCTACTCAGTTCATACATAAAGACCTATAGTATAGTTTCTGAAGAGGCTATAGATTCCTCTATAGGGTTCTATTGATTTGTATAAAACTTTTTCACTTGGGATATCGAGGGCATGATGTTGCTAACAGACAGAACTGGGCGAAACTTCTTGGGCGGTGGTGATCTCTGGTGCCTCCATTCCAGACTAGCACAAATGGCGAGAGTAAGGCTTTCAAAACGTTTATGTTTGCATTTGTCATAACAGTTGGCTTGGAGCCGCTTTGCTCAGGGTCGTCCAGCACACTTTTTGCGTCCAGCTTTAAAACGTGAACACCACTAAACAAAGGCGATCTTTGAAATGTTTTCTTCACGAAACTGTGCTCTAATTCGCACATGAATCTCACTTGGTTTGATGCCTTCGTTAACCAAAAAAACCTAAGCGCAATGATTTGTTCAAGAACCGAGTTAACTGCCTTCTCCGCCATTTTTCCTATCGGGCAACACACAAAGTCCATAGTAATGGAAGTTGTTTCCTAAGGTCCCCTCTACCAATCCGCATGCATAACTTTCAATTATCTGAAATATAAATTTACATTCAGAAATGTATGAATGTAGAATGTTAATTGTTGAGATCCGGTGCATATGGGGCCCATTCAAATCCTGACAGATTTGCTCAGCACCAATTTTGAGCGGTTTTTGCCTTTTTGAGAAAAATGCTAGTTGGTCATTCTTGAGAATGTGGTTCTTCCATGGGCCAACGGGCTTTGCGTTCAAGAAGATTGAGCTTTCCAGCACGACTCTTTGTCATCCTACGAGGCTAAACCCACTCAAAATTGGTGCTGAGCAAACCTACTAGGACTTGAATGGCTGCCTTATTCACCGGATCTAAATCCATTGGAATTTTCTGTTCACAATATTCTCGAAGGAAAGGCCGCTACTAAACAACAGAAAAATATGGAATCGCTCAGGAGATCCCAACAGGCTGCCTGAGCTAAAATAGACATTATTAGAAACGTAGTGGAACATTTTTAGAAGCTCTTTAAGTCTTGTATCAAAGCAAAATGAGGATACATTGAAAATGTTTGTTTACATAGTGTATGTTCTATTACATAATTGTGTAAAGTTTTATTTCAATCGGATTAGTAAAAGGAAAAATATCCTTGTTTATATTCGTTGCATTCATTTGGGTAACCCTTTAAAAATTCCAAAAGCTGAGCTTCAGAGAAATTACTTAAGCAGCACTGAAACTCCATCCACCTGTTGTGCAGAAAAGATACATTTCAAGACTTCACTTTAAACTAATGTTTTCTGAAAGTTTCATCTGTCTAGGCTGTCTGAATAAGGGAAAATTTTGTTTTCAATGAGATACGACAAAGTCACGAACATAGTTGATCCACAGAAAATTTCGTAGTATCAAAAATGACTGCCCTTTTGAAATGGCCTGTCGAATTTTTCAACTCCCATTTCGCCCTAGTGAATGAATCAGGGGAGATCTCATGGGGATCTCAGGGAGTAGCATACTCAAGTACGACCAAGGAGTTCTTCAACGAAGTGCAACATAGAGGTTCAGAAACGTTCTTATTGCTGCCTTCACAGCCGTCATGAGGCAATTTATTATCCACTGCTGGATGAAGGGCACCATATACAGGGTGTACATGAAGTCTCAATCTATTTTATTGTTAAACTCAAAATTTGTACAAAAATGCATAATGTGCACTTCACATTGTCAATAATGAACTAAATAAAACTGGCAATAGTAAATAAAAAATCAGTCAACTTTTTTTTTTTACCTTATGCCCACTTCACAGCCATGACATTCACTTTCCAAATCGATACATACTGGAATCAATCCTTTGTTTCCCTGAACATTCAGGATGTTCAGCATGTCAGGGGTGACAATGTTAAAAGCAGCATACATACGATCACTTAAATCTTCAGCATTGAGAACCTTCGTGCAGTAAAACTTTGGAATAATGTACCCCATGCAAAGAAATCCAAGTGGGTTATGTCAGGTAATCCTGAAGCCAACGTTCTGTTCCATCCTTGGCCCATCCAATGGTTCGGGAGCTTCTCATTAGATAATCCAGCACAATGTTCGCAAAATGAAATTTGGGCATCAATATCCCCTGAGCTAACCCCCTTTGACACATGGGGATTCATGGGGGTACACAAGTACCCATGGGGTTACATTAAGTCCAAGGTTTACAGCACAAAAGTTCACAATGTTGAAGATTTAAGAAATCATATCAATGCTGCTGTTAACATCATAATCCCTGACATGCGGAGCATCCAGAATGTTCAGGGACACAATGGATCAATTCCAGTTATGTATCGATTTAAAAGGTGATCATCTTGAACTTCAGTATGAAAAAAATAATTCATTTTTAAAATCTACTAATCAGGTTTTATTTAGTTCCTTATTGACAATGTGAAGTGCACATTATGCATTATTGTAGGAATTTTGAGATTAACAATAAAATAGATTGGGACTTTATGATCACCCTGTATCATTTTGGGAATTCCTGGATTGCTCCAGGACCAAAAGAAGGGCTTATATTTAACTTTAAAAATGCTTCCTAAAAAGATTTGCACCGCAAATGCCACTCCTGGTTTGAGGTGGCTTGGGCTACTACAATCAGATTGTACAAGATTTTACGAAAAAGGATCAAATTCGTTAAGTCAGGGAAAACTAACGCGGGCGTTTCAGTGACGTATTTATTGCCACTTTGCATTAAGTATTCATCAGGACGTCATAAACTATTCGTCATAACTCTTACTGACGAGTTCACTTGACTTCTTGCATCATCCAGCCATGCCTCTGTGTCGCATCATCGCAGCTCTTCCAAAGAGAAAAGCATTTATCTTCGACTTGATACTTAAGGGTTGGAGTCCCTTCCATCGAGAAGAAACAATTATCGGTGCCATCGCCAACGACGACCAGGCAGTTCCACACCCCTTGATACTCTTTGCCCATTGCCTGCACGATCCGGTCTGCCATGACAAAATTGTCGTCCCGGGTCTCCATGGCTTGCTTAGTCATGCTTCGGGCATATTTCTCCATATCCTCCATTCTATGCAAAATAGAATTCTAGAAAACATTCTATGCAAATGTATTTTTGCTCTTCTAATGTGAAATAAGAGGAATGAGCGAGAAAAGGAGATTGGAGTTGGCGCTCTTCTCATTTTAAGAGTGTATAGATTTTACCACGAACCAGAATCCTGTTCTGCGAGCATCTTTCCTCACATCTATTCACACTCTCACCGTCAATTTTAGAAATGACATCTAAAATTCTAAAATATACGTTTCTTGCGTAAGTCTTCTACTATAGAGGCTTGAGTGAATTGGGCTTTTAACTGTATTCACAATACCCAAGAAAAACTCTTCGTAGAATGATATAGCATTATAACTTCAGTCCATGAAAAAGACTGAAGGGAGAAAAACCTGCTCCTATGGACAAGGACAGATTTTATGGCCATAAGGTTACCTAAAGTTATGAATCACCCTTGCACCTTGTCATCACTAAAGAGGTTGCCGGCACAACGGATGATATAAGGAAGGCAGCCATAAAGTCCACAACTGAAATACATTTCGGATGCTGCGTTAGTGCATATCGAACATTCAGAATGATCTCTATGCGAACTATGGAATGGCAGCGCAATTGATGTTAATTTTTAATTCCCAAAATGGATTCCCCACCATGTGTTACAGCTTTAATGTGGCAGTATCATGTACGTTAAAGTGTATCTCCTACATATAGCGCTCTTAAACAAGATGTTACAGGGTGTCTGTACGGTTCCACAATCCCCTTAGAACTGTCAATGTCTTCATGCAAGCGTGATTTATTTCATTCTGATATTTATTTAAGAAAATGAAGAAGTATTCGCTGCTACAATGCCTTACAATTGTGGAAGAGTACGTCGTGTGTAAATACTGTATTAGGGGTTTCTCCGTCAAGAACTAAGCTCCGGTGAGAACAGTCTTGAAAGATCTACCCCATGAAACTATGAATGTTCAAGATCAAGTTCGACTGAAGTGACCAACTTTGTTAACTGGAGATGAACTTAGGGATAGAAGTTCTTGAATGATTGTGGTTCCCAATTATGCACTTAAACGCCATTATTCACGGAGTCGTAGCAGCAAACGTTCTTCATGCAAAGCTTACACCTGACAAAAGGGAGTCTTCGTTACCCGTTATTGATATGATGGAAAGGGAGGTAGATCGGATGACGTCATTGATGACATCACCAACAGTTTTAAGACGTGTATCGAAGGCGTCTAAGACGTCAAGGAGCCCCTGCAGCCATTCTCTCAAAATATGATCGCGGCTTAATGATCTACCATTTTTGTAAGGGCTTGATAGGCACGTGAGCTTCGATGTAACACCGTGTGGTTCGTTTGAGTCAATTATCCCTTGGATGGTGGATGACTCACTTCTTTTTTTTACTGGCACTTAATCTATTAATAATTACATCTTAAAATTGGCCTACCAGTTTCCCTGAGGAACGAAGTAGCATGAACCTTTCTGCTTTTCAATAGGAATTCACCCTCTTTACAAGATCAAATATGTGCTTCACGAATGTTTTGACAACCAATGCTACCCTGCGATGGATATACAGGACGAAGAATGGGATGTTTCCTTGTCAATTTCACGAGTTCAGCTGGAAGCCTCGACTTTTCTATGGAGGGCAACCGCAATATGTTCGCTTGTGAACAGAGAAGGAACGAAATCGTTCGAGATCGCACACACGCCAAAACCATTCGCAACTATTGTAACTCCCCCCTGGCGTACTTGAGAGGTTCAATCGGCTGTCCACTCCTACTGCTGACATACCAATAAAAAGCCTACCGATTATTCTTATCATTAATGGCTTGCCGTTCGTTCGTCCATCTCCTGTTTCGACGACATGATTTCCCGCTGCAGCATCCTCGTAGCTACTGCATCATCCTCGTATTCCGATCGATCACCCGTGCGCTCATGCAATTACCATCTATTCTTCTTACATCTGATCGACGACTTAACTTTACCTGTAAGCAAGACCAGCTTTCCTATCAATCCTTTTCGCCTTAGGTATGCAAATTTCCATGGAACCTGCCAGAACCGTGTCGAAAGCATCCCACTGCTCCTCTACCGTTCGTCCTCATAGAATTCGGTTAATCGAAATGATACCCTTTGCTCAATTTTCGTATTTCGATTCATTTTTTCAAGGGAAAAAGCAACAACCGGATATTCGATTCACATCAGTCACTTTTCGACTGCGCCGGGTCGCCTGAAAGTCGTCTGTAATACCGAAATATGTCTATAGCCGAGACTCGAGGAAATTTCATAAGTGGCTGCGCATCGTCTAGACGCATGTCTATGCTGAATCTCAGCCTTACCGAACGTCATCATCGCAATTGGATGCAATGCGTTCTTGCCAGAAGTTGATTGAAATCTGACTACATGAAAGATATGGAAAAAGTTTTGCCAGAATGGATATTTGTACAATATTCAGAGATTCCATCTTGTCATCTGAATGCCAGGCATGAACGAAGAGCACCCTATCCAGGCCCATATCCCGCATTTTCCGCCTTTATTCACATGTTTTTCCGTCTCCATTCCCTGATCATGTCATTGTTTAGAATTACAGTGCACTGTCTCATTTATGGCAGGGAAAAGATCTGTCAGCACATATATGCTATCTTTATTGCCCATCATTACATGTTCTTTCACTTCCGTACTGTGTCCCATAAATTCTGTTTAGAGCCCCGAACCGGAAGATAACGCAAGAACCGTGACCTTTCGTAATGATTTTCAATCAATTTCGTGATGATTTTCAATCTGATATACCATTCCAAGACGGGTGAATTCCAACATTCTGGCCACGAATCTGCTAGTGAGTTCTTACCTCCGACACAGACAAAAATCAAAGCACGTTTGAATCCCAAGAAAATTATCATTAAGCGCTCCAGGACCATTAACTTCACATCGGCCTAGCCTATCATTAGATAATTTTCATAATGCATGGTATCGAGCCTTCTTGTGGCTCGTTTTGGGTCTAGGCTAATTTATATATATCAGGGGTTTACCTATGAAGTTGCTGTTTTTACGAATTATGAACTTTGACATCCGATAACTCTAGTTTGCCATGATATTTTCCCTTCATTATGCTTTTGTCTGAAAGATACATTCTTTCTCTTTTTGAACAGGTATAGTAGTCAACATTGTCTCTTAATGTGTACAAAATCAGCTTTTGTGGAAACATGGACAAATTAAAAATTCGAATAATTTTTTAATATGAGTTCCGTCGTGGTACCAATGCCTCACAGACAGCCCGAAATATCAACGACACATATGGACCAACTACCACTAACGAACGTACAGCCCGGTATTGGTTCAATCGTTTCCGTTCTGGAAATTTTGATCTTGCAAATGAGTCCCGTGGGCGACCTGAGACGAAGGCCGAAAACGACGAATTGAAGGCGATAGTGGAAATGGATCCATCCCAAACTTCGGGTGAATTAACATCAAGGTTTGGTGTAAGCATTAAAACCATACTGATTCATTTGGATGAAATTGGTATCGATACCAATCGATACCAAACCCACGGGACTCATTTGCAAGACCAAAATTTCCAGAACGGAAACGATTGAACCAATCTGTACGTTCGTTACGTTCGTTCGTTAGTGGTAGTTGGTCCATATGTGTCGTTGATATTCCGGGCTGTCTGTGCCGCATTGGTACCACGACGGAACTCATTCAAAAATTATTCGAATTTTTAATTTGTCCATGTCTCCACAAAAGCTGATTTTGTACACATTAATTAAGAGACAATGTTGACTACTATACCTATTCAAAAAGAGAAAAAATGTATCTTTCAGAAAAAATAATCATAAAGCGAAAATATCATGGCAAACTAGAGCTATCGGATATCAAAGTTCATAATTCGTAAAAACGGCAACTTCATAGGTACACCCCTGATAGATTCTTTCCATGTGAAGTCTTGTCATTTGGCTCTGTCCACAGGGTCAGCGCTGAAACGATAATTTTTCAATTTGACGCAAGATTAAAATGAAAGAAAACATTCGAAATGGTTGCAGAGTTGTAGTACCCTGGATTTAGTCCTCCACTTTATTACCAGTCTAAGCAATTACAACATTGCAATGCCAATTATTGAAATGCTCACTCCCACCGTAGTGGCACCCCAATATTGGGACTATAATGACGGCAATGGAATATTTATAATGGATTCTGAAAGTCCTAATTTTAGTACATTCCAGGGAATGATCCCTTTTTCCTGCTCTGCAGAATACTCAAATCTTCCTTACGAGCTTCTGAAACTTTTACAGAAAGGAATTGTCTAGGTATTGCATTGAAATGCGCTTGCACTGAGAAATATGAGCAAAATATTTAATTTTTGCTAGCGAGAATGGAAAATAAATCCTCTTATGGAAAAGGAAATAAACATTGATAGAAATATTTCTGGCTTATACATTGAAAATATTATTCAAATGTAAGTTCCAATAATTCCTTTTCGAATTGTTTAATACAAATTTGAAGCCACATTTATTTCTCTGGGAATGGAGGCTTGCTAGACTGGGATCTGAAACAGACGAGATCAACGCGCGGTAGCTGAACAGTGTGGAAGTTACATCAGTGAATGGCGAGTGAATCCAAAAATTGTTGCAACTGAAAAAGTGTTGGGCGAAACTTTTTATAAAGAGTAGGGGATCCATTGAAATTCTGAAGGAATCTTGTGACCGAAAAGAAATGAACTGAAATGAAATTACTGATATATTAATAGAAAGTAACAATTTGAATTTGTTTGATTTCTGACCAAGTCCAACATAAATTAGACGAAGACTTAACTCTAAAACACAGATGTATATGAAAATCCCCTCAAAGACGAAAAATAAAGTACAACTGGAGTTCTGGTGCAATAAATGAACCAAAACAAAAATTAAAATTATTTTGGGAAGTTAAGCTACTAAGGGATTGAGTTCATGACCAGAGTTTCGTTCCTTTCATTTCCTCTCTAGACTTTTGCTGCTTGCCTTTCTTTTTGTACTTGTTCTTTTACATAACGCACGAGGAGAATGAATATATTTTTTGAAAAACCCATGAGGCTCATATCTTGCCTACCGTTATGTGACACAAATGCAAAGGTCCTTAAAATGCCACATGCATTATTACAGACTTCCATAAAGTTTGTATCATGCCTCTAGACGTGTGCGCTTCTTCTGGATATATTCAGCGGAGGCGCTGGCACCACACATCCTTGGGCAGGGGGAAGGAAAGGGAAAAAAAAGCCTAGGCAGGTGAGAAACTGGGAGAGGTGAGGGAGTGAGGAAATGATAGTACAGGGTGACCAGAAAGTCCTGTCCACTTTTGTCCCATATTTTTAACTATATAAATACAAAAGCTCTAGCAATCTTTTCATGCAGTTTTGCTCCCTAACATTATTGTCTATGTGTGTGAAAAGTTTNGCTGTGTGAAATCGTCGATGACTTCCCGCGCCGTCTGAAGGCTCGTAGAGACGC